AAAAACTGCGGGAACCATGCAAAAAACGCATCTTCGCACGGGCAGCCCGTGCGTTGGCCAATTTTTAAAATTCTCTAGAGTCTTGCTCCCCGTTTTAGTGCGAATTAAGAATTTTCCAGGCATCCATCAAATGTGGGAGCTATTGGCAGTTGGATGTTTTTGCTTAAATAACGCAAGCGGCGGATTACCTCTTTACTGGCATGAAAAGGACGTACTGTCACTGATTACAGTTTGTGAATTGTAGGATGCAAATTGAGCTTTCGTGTCAGTTGCTGCAAGCGAAATTATTCAGTCGTGGAAGTGCGCAAAATACAGCGCCACTGCTCGGTGTCTCAATTGGATTATCAGTTTGCTGCAGTGTAGCACTGGGCAGTGATCTGAGGCTCAGGCAGCTTGCTTTCAACTTCACCAATCCTTCGCTCACTTTTAACGATGGTTAATTATTATCTTTCTTTGAATTTCCCAAAAGCGAAAGATGGCGATCTGGGTGTCCAAGCAACTTAATCTATCAGCTTCGTCCATCACACTCCAGCTCACAGGGGCTGGAGGTGTGGCTGTGCTCGTGCAATCTGGAAAACGAGGGAGAATGTAGGTGACGAGGGCAGCTGAGTGTTGCTGCAGCGTAAACCAAAGGCATCTCGGGCAACTCTCAAGCACAACTGTGTTACTACGTTCGTCTCTCGGTTTGCGAATACCTTGGTGAATAGACCTGTGCATAAGTTATCTTAATGTTCTCTGCTACTGTGGGCTAATATTGGCTCATTTCAGTGGCAAAGCTTAGCGATCTTTTAGTTTCTCCCCTCCCCTCACCCTGTCCTGCCCAGCATGGCGTAATTATGAATTAATCTCTACAAATTTTCGGGGCATAGTATGCTTTCATGCGTGAATGAGCGCGCATTTAGCTGAGACCCTGAGCTTTCCAGCTGTTTGTCATGTGTTCTCTGTTTCAGCCCATTTCTGTGACTTTGTTATTAGACATAATTCAGTGCTTACGCATGAGACTTGTCCAGATTCTTTACAGTCGCCAAAAAATTTTTTTTCAGGTCTTTTGGATTATTTGCGTGGTTATCCAACTCCCCGAACGCCAAAAATTGCATCGGATCTGCCTAGTGCGCTGGATTCAGTGAATATTCTGAAGACAAATTTAAAGTTGGATGTGGGGAACTTGGTGATGCGATTTACAGCAAACATCGATTCCGCTGTGGTGTGAGTGCTTCTTGAGAGATGTTGGAAACTGGTAAAGACAGGCTTAAATTCGGCTAGTTTGGAAGCGGCCCCCTGTGCATGATTCGACAATGTTCCCAAATGCCGGGGGAGAGTACTCGAGATCCTGCGGTTGTTCAGATAGTAACTTTGCGCCGATTCGGTCGTACCTTTTCCTCTTACTTTTTGCTAACTGTTGCATGTTGAAAGGCAAATGAATTTGTTTTGTTCCTTGAGAAATTACTATTAGTTGTGAAATTACGAGAATAGGCCGGAAAGAAATCGAGAAGAAAACGGGGGATAACGGATGGGCGGCTATTGCACCTTAGGGAAGTTAAAACCTGTGCAACTCTACCACTTCGAGTTTTCAAGTAAACAAGAAATTTGTGGTAATGAACTGCTGCAAAGCAGAATTT